ATTCTATGTGTATTTCTTCACTCACTTATGAAATAGTTTCTGAGACAGTCTCTCACTGAACTTGGAGAACATTAGGCTAAGCTGGCTAGCCAGAAAGCCCCAGAGATCTTTGTCTCTGACCCCTCAGTGCAGGGATTATAGGCAAGCACCACTCACACCACACTTTCATTTATCAGAATTTATTTTATTTTATTATTTTCTTTTTTTACCATTTTTACTAAATTTTAATTAAAATATAATTCCAACATTTTCCATTTCCTTTCTATCCTCTAACCCTTCCCCAAACCCCTCCCTCCAACTTCTTCCATGCTCCCCACTCTCAAATTGATAATCTTTTTTCTTTGAGTATTATTGTTAAATATACATACATACATACATACATACATACATACATACACACATACATATTCATGAAAAATATTTAACTATAACCTACTAGGTCCTTTTTTGTTCTTTGTGTGTATATGATTTCAGGGTTATTGAAGTCATGGATCTTAGAAGAGAATCGACTACTGCCACTTTGCTAGACCAGAATAACTTCTAACTGCACTCTAAATCCTATCCTGTAAGCATAGCTACCACCCCTCATGAAAGAAGCCTCTCTATACAGCAAATGGGAACCATCCTAGAAAACACCACTGGATACAGTATAGAATCAAAAGATCACGGGGAACCCAGCCCCAGTAAATTCATTTGCATCACAGTTCTTGCATTTTTGGCCCAGTGAGCATCACAGAATAGGGGATAGAATGATTGTAAGGACCAGAATACCAGAAAGTATATTGTGGAATAGTCTTTCCTAGAAATGGCTGCATAAACAAGGGCTGAACAATGGCAAAATCAATGGACATGTTAATATAAAAGGGGAAAAGTCTCACTCCCTAGGCAAGGACTTACAGGCAACTTCTGAGAGAGAGAGAATTACATCTCCAAGGATCATCCTTCTATATTGGTTGTTGAAAACATAGTGGTCAGTCCTGAAACCATATACCAAATACACACAAACAACAAAAATGGTGGGCGATCTTCACAGTAGCCACAAATAACATAAAATATCTTAGGGTAGCTCTAACCAAACAAGCGAAAGTCCTGTATGACAGGAACTTTAAGTCTTTAAAGAAAGAAATTAAAGAAGATACCAGAAAATGGAAAGATCTCCCATGCTCTTGGATAGGTAGGATCAACATAGTAAAACTGGCAATCTTGCCAAAAGCAATCTACAGATTCAATGCAATCCCTATCAAAATCCCAGCACAGTTCTTCACAGACCTTGGAAGAATAATATTCTACTATATATGGAAAAACAAAAAAACACAGGATAGCCAAAACAACCCTGTACAATAAAGGAACTTCTGGAGGCATCATCATCCCTGACTTGAAGCTCTACTATAGAGCTATAGTCCTGAAAACAACTTGGTATTGGCACAAAAATAGACAGGTAGACAAGGGTTACCCAATCTATAGTTAAAAAATATATCAGGACACAGTGTCTAAAATGGCAGAGCTACCAGGGAGCAGGTTGAAGTATCAATACCTGATAAAGGGAGGACTCACTGAGTTAGCAGAATTTGGGCAAAGGCCTTGGGCAGGGTAAGGAAGTGAGCCTAGGAGAAGCTGGGAAGTCAGTGAACAGGGATAACCAGATAACTCCTCAAACATGGGAACACTGCTGGCATGTGCAGGGAACCCCTTTGTGGAATGAGGAGAGTCGTAGTAGAGATGGTCAGAAGGGCAACAGGAAAGGGTGGCAAGCCAAGACATGGAGGGTATTGGAGACCATTCTAATGATGAGGATTTAACATAGTAAACATTGCCAGTCAGCATCTTTAACTCCACCCATGACAGGCAACTTCCATTCAGCTCTGAGATACAGTTGTTTTTCTTTCTTCCTGCATTTGGAGTTTTTTCTGAGCCTTTAAAACCTCTACTCTATAGAGAAAAAAGGCACAATTCTTAAATGTTTCATATAGTAGCTAGGAAATAAAATGAGTTGCTTACCAACATACTGCTTCCAAAATTCAGTCTGTAAGAAAAAAGAAGACAACTTAATGATAGTGTTTAAAGTATTTTGATGTGTATTCATTTTCTTTTATAACATGTGTGATATAATATTCACTGATATTTTAAGATTTCAAACACAAGTCTCTTTAAAAATTGGTTTAAGAATAGTTTGCATTTTGCTTTATGTGTATGGGTATTCTGCCTGCATGCATACATGTACCATGTGCATGCAGTATTCACAGAGGCCAGAAGAGGGTGCTGGATCTCCTAGAATTGGAGTTAGAGATGTTTGTGAGCCTCCATGTGGATGCTTGGAATCCAACCTGTGTCCTTTGGAATAGGACACTGAGCGATCTTTCTATTCCCCCAGTCCCTTTTTAAAAAAATGAAGGTTTCCATATTTTGCTTAGGGACATATGGCTCTGTTATGATGTGGGTACACTCACAGTTTTTTCAGTGTTTTCAAAAGCTTCTCGTGCTTCTTCAAAACTACACCTTTCTTCTATGCACTCTCTCTCAAGATTTCCTTGAACAAACTCTTCCAGCTTCCCTGAATTATATCTTTTTGGACGGATAAGAATTTTGGTAGCATTTTCACGATCAAGGAAAACTGAAATTGAAAAGAACCTTTCTTTAGTTTTAGAAAAAAGAAAACACTCTGAAAATGAAGCATTTCTTTTAAGAAAAGGTTTGTTTCAATCTTTGTAATTCTATAGCTATTTTCTCTTTGATGTTCTTACTGTACTGTATATACATTGAGATTTTGAAAATAAAATTTAATTTTATTTTAGTCAGTAGAGCTCCAATAATGAAAGGTCACATTTTTAGCCGTAGTTGTATTTAACTTTGGAAGAAAAAGAAAGTTCTTAAATAAACAGTTCACACTTTGTCATTACTTGAAAATAGCTCAGTTCAGGATCCTTGCAAGGTGATCCATCATCACCCTGGCTGAGCTATTTCCAGGACATAGTCTCCCAGTGACTTTGCAACAAATATCCCATGAAGAACAGAAGCCCTGTTTTTATTTGTTTTGGATAGACATCAAGCTATAATTTGACTGGGTAGACAGATATAGAGGATCTAGGAGGAGAAAGAATATGATCAAAATATTTTATATGAAAACATATTAAACAACAACAACAAGAAGAACAACAACAACAAAATCCCAACTGTAGGCCAGCTGCAAATGTGAACCCAGTGCCTATCATGGGATAGCGAGAACCAATCATGCCATAATTGCTTTTATCTTCAGGCCCAGGATGCCTTTAGTTGGTATATAAATTCCAGTGATTTTAAGCATTTCCCTGAAATTCATGATGTGGTTTCTTTTAGGTATGACTGCCTACTTTGTAGGACACTCTGCGTTTTTGAGGATTGAAGGCTTTGAATTTTCTTCCTTTTTTCCCTTTCCTTCTCCTTGCCTTCTCTTCTTTGTATCATTTTTTGCCTTTGTCTCCCTCCCTCTGCGTATATACATGTGTATGCATATGTATGTGTGTATGTTCACATATGTTTATGTATGTATATAATGTATATTATCAATAGCAGAAACCCAAAAAGCTGCTTGGAGTTGTTCCTTTTCTAAACAGACCAGCAATATTGGGGCTGGAGAGATTGCTCAGTGGTGGTCTCACAGAGGATCTGGGTTTAATTCCCAGTACTCAACATCAGGTGGCTCACTTCCGCATGTAACTCCAGGACCAGGGGAGCCAATGTCCTCTGGCCTCCACAGAGAGGCACCTGCACGCATGTGGTGCCCAAAAACTCAATCTCATATGCATGCACTCAAATACAAATAATAAATAGATGACAGAGAGAGCATCAATGTAGTGATAATATTTCTAACTGAACTCTCTAGGACATTTGGTACTACTTTCTCATTAACTCAAAAGAGAGGAAGTAATGGAACTTAGTTTTATTAAATTATTTTTGTGATAGCTCTTTTCTTTATGGAACATTCTAGTCCACTGACATCCTTGTCCTCTGAACCCCTTTTGGGGAACACTTTCCCAATCCCTAAATTTACTTTAAGTATCTTCCTATCATTCTTCCCTTGCCAACTTCCCCAATTCATTTAATCTTTTGTTAGTGCTTTGCTTGCTAGGCAGTCTCAATGAAGCAGGTGTGTATACCACCGAGTTGCCTATGGGTACCTTTGTGTATTTATATCTCAGTTACCATAGCAATCCATCTGCTTGGTTCAAGTCACTCCTATAGAATATCTATGATGGTACAGATTTGTGGCATGGAGGAATGAAACAAACAAGGTTTGTAATCAGATTGGACGGGGTTTGAATCATGAATTTGACTCTTATTGGCTGTGTGAACATGGGCAAGCCATATAATACCTGGACCTTAACTTTCCCAAATGTAAATAAAGTGGGTGTAACAGCAGTGTAAGGATGTGTACCTCATCATCATGTTGACAGGATCTCTGAGATAAGTTATAAGCCAGTGTATCCCTGGTTACTAACCCCCTCCCCCAAGTTTCACATGCTTATCCCCTTTTTTCTCTTAGTTTTCTTCCTTCTCTAGCTCTTCTATGCATTTTGTAGTACCTTTACTTCCTTCCTTCCTTCCATGGAGGGAAATTACCATTGTTGTTATTGGTAGTAGTCTTGTAAAGAATCCTTTTGACTTCGAGTATTTCAGGATTGCTCCTTGTCACACAATAGAGGATCAGCCTAGATTTAAAGGCAGAACTCAGACTGTGGACCCTGTGCTGTGTTGGTATCATCACTCTGTACTCAACCCTTCAAACACTCTATATATGTTTCCTAAGCCTTTCATATGGATGTGGTTATTGAATCATTTCAGCTTGATTTCATTATTATCACTTCAATTGTCCATCTTCTCTTTATGGCTACTGTCCAGGTTCTGATCGTCTTTTTTTTCCTTTGGTTGATTGCTAAAGATTTAAGATTGGACTTGCTAGCCTGGAGCGTCATCTGGTGCAGCCTCACCAGACCGAGCATTATAAGTTATAACAGAGTGAGGGGTGTGCTTCTTACACTTAACACTTGTTACACCTCCACATTGTTCTCTACTGTTCAATCTCCTTAGCTTGGGGCCCTTTTACAATTTATTAGATGATCTGACCTACCTCATTTTTTTAGTCTCACTTCTAGCAGTCAATATTCAAACCAGACAGAGCATCTGGAATACTTAGCTTATTGTGGATGTGGCTCTTTCTGTGTGAGGGCTACTATCTACATAAAATACTCACATTAGTGATTGTTTTTATTGCTCTGTATATTTGATTATATATGTATATTATATATGATATTATATGCACACAAGTATGGGGTGTGTGTAGATGGGTGATGTATGTGTTCTGGCTAGTTTTTATATCAACTTGACACAAACGAGGGTCTTTTGGAAGAGGGAACCTCTTTTGTAAATATATCCCTATCAAATTGGCCTGCGAGCAAGCCTGTGATGCATTTTCTTGGTTGGTGATTGATGCAGGAGAGCCAGGCTCACTGTGGGCTGTGCTTCCCCTGTGCGGGAAGTACTGGGTTGTGTAAGAAAGTAGGCTGAGCACACCTTGAGGAGCAAGATAGTCACAGTCCCAGGCACTACAACAGTAATGTTGTAAAATCTGACTGCATAAAAGACAGTTTCAATCCGTATACTTTGTAAAGCCAAATTTGTTTCTCAGACTAATTCTGATTTCCAGTTCTAATTGGCACACTAAAGCACTATTCATGAACATACAGCCTTTCCTTTTCAAAGCCCGTGACAGTTAAACAGAAGACAGCACTACATGAATACTGTCGACCTCAGGGATATTTCCCTGGTTCTCTGACCACGACTCTAAAATCCTGTTGCTTTTCTCCTCAGTATCATCTTAGGATCATATATCTAACATCTCTTTAGGATTATCTCTTGTCATTATTGCCCCAGCTCTGAAATCTTGATTCTTCTATTTTACCATCATCCAAGGTCTTGTAGGGGCAGCAGTCCTTTGACACCTGACATCTCCTTACCACTAATTGATGAGAAAGTGTTTGGATCTTTTGTCCTCACACAGGTCAATCTGGTGCAGTATGGTGAATGACGTGACTCTATGATCCACATAATGAGTTTTCCAACATGTATTTTCTTTTCTTAGTCTCCCCACTTTGCTAGAGCAGTTTAACCTTTGCATTTTCATGTCATCACTTCAGCCTTTCAGTCTGATTCCACAGTTGACATCATGTCTGGAGTGGGAACCAGGAGAGCAGCCTGTTTTCTGGGGATGTTCAGGGTTAGCACCCTTGATCCTGACACTGTCAGCTGCTAGAGTTGATTTTAGTGGGCTGACAAGTAAGTGTGATAAATGCATCCTGAGTGAGCATGCTGTTTGTCTAAATGGAGTAAGTTTGTCCCTGTGTGCCTTTCCCTGGGGAGTAGAGTCACTGCTGCTGCAAAAGGGAAACCAAACAAAACCCCAATGTGTTTGTTGTACTTTGCATGAACTAAGTTCCTGCTTTTTCTAGCCATTTGTATACTTGCAGTTGTCCCCTAGGCAATTCTTTGAGTACTAGGGTTCTCAAAACAGCAGCTCTGAGAGGTGTAGACTCACAAATGAGCTGATTTATTCTCATCCATGTAAAAGCTTTCCTGACAGATAACTTAATAAAGGATAATCTTCCAATTTAACTGAGAAATTAAATTGTACATATATACTTTATAAGTTATACATATGGCTCACCATCTAGTTCTAAAAGGTTAAAACACACATAGATTGAAGAGATACTTTTTATGTAAATAAGACCATTGCGGTTTTGATGTTTCCCCTTTTGATTTCAAGGTGGTGAATCTTAAATCCCAAAATAACACATTTTCCTGCTTATTCTTTAATTTCTTTGTTAAGACATTTTCTCACTTTCAATTTTTTTAAACCAAGGACACAGAAATTTTAAGAGGAATCATATTGCCAAATCATAAGAATAACTATTAAATCAAAATGCATCCTGAGCACTGTAAATCTGGTTCTTTTGAAAAGGAAGAAGGTGAAGTTACCAGGGAGCCAGTGTTTGCCATCTGACATGCCGCCTGCTAGAATCTAAACTAGAACATCAAATCATGGAATCTTGCTTTAGTTGAAAATGACGGCTGTAAATATTTCTGTATCTAAAAGAGAAGCACATTCAATGTAGCATTGAAAAGGAAACAAACCTGCACATTGAGCATTGAGTAGATATCCCAAAAGGAAGACAGTGATGAGGCCCGATGATTCTTCCATGATGGTGCTCAGGTGCTGCCTGACCTTTGTTAGTAGATTGTGCAAGTGTCAGGGCTGAGCAATCATTCCAAAGTACAAGCTGAATTGGATTTACTTCTGGGAAATTCCTGTCTCTATCCCTCAGTGGGCCTTTGGGCTATTTACTTCTGGGAAATTCCTGTCTCTATTCCGCAGTGGGCCTTTGGGCTATTTCTAGGGGTTTCTTAGGTCAAGTGAAGGAATGAGCAGGGCTCATCACTACATTGCACCTTGGGTTTCATGGGCTTCTGTCACTGGGGCAGGGCTACAGTTGTGCTGGAAGCAAAGTTTATCAGTTGGAGCTCATTTTATCTTTGTCAAAGAGCAATACTATAGAGTTTAAAGATAAAAGGCAATCCCATTATTTGATCCTTTATTTTAAAATATCTTAAAAGATGTTTATAAACTGAAATTATAAATCTAAAATATCTGTTATGTACTCCATTGTAATCCGGAATGTAAATCTTTCTTGTGCCATGTGCCAATATAGTGGCACATATAGACACTGTCTCTGAACATGTGTATATGTACATGTGTATGCAACTATACACATAGATATATAGAAATATACATGTATATCTATACAACAGCAAAAAAACAATCCCCATCAAAATTCCAACACAATTCTTCACACATTTTGATAGGACAATTTTCAGCTTCATATGGAAACACACACACACACACACACACACACACACACACACACACACACACACACACACGTATACACATACAAACAACTCAGGGTAGCTAAAACAGTGCAATCCTGAATAATAAAAGAGCTGCTTAAGGTACCACCATATCTGACCTCAAATTGCACTAAAGAGCTGTAGTAATAAAAACAGTGTGGTATTGGTATAAAAACAGATATATCAACCAACGAAATCAAAGACCCAGACATAAATCCATACACCTATGAATGCCTTGTTTTTGATAAAGAAGACAAAAATACACACTAGAAAAAAGACAGCCGCTTCAAAAACGTGCTAGTTAAGCTGGATGGCTGCACGTAGAGGAATCCAAATAGATCCATACTTACCACCCTACACAGTACTCAACTTCATATGGATCAAAGATCAGATACATAGAAGTTGCTAGAAAAGTGAGTGGGGAATACCCTTGAATGCATTGGCATAGGGGATGACTTCCTGAACAGGACATCATTAATGCAGGAACTCAGATCAACAGTTAATAAATGGGTCCTCAAGCAACTCAAGTGCTTCTGTAAGGCAAAGGACACTGAAAATGGAACTATGGCAGATTACAGAATGGGAAAAGATTTTTTTTTTAACCAACTCTACATCCAATAGAGGACTAATATCCAAAATATATGCAGAACTCTAAAAACTAGATATCAAGAAAATAAATAACTCAATTAAAAATGGGATACAGATATAAACAGAGAATTCTGAAAAATAGGAAATTCAAATGGCCAAGAAACACTTAAGGAAATGTTCAATGTTCTTAGTCATCAAGGAAATGCAAATCAACAGTACTTTGAGATTTCAACTTACACTGGTGAGAATGGTTAAGATCAATGAAACAAATGACAGCTCATGTTGGCAATGGTGTAGAGTAAGAGGAACACTCATGCTTTGCTGATGGTAGTGCAAACTTGTACATTCACCATGGAAACCAGTGTGGCAGTTCCTCAGGGATATGGGAATCAATCTACTTCAAGATGAAGCTGTATACCCAAATGATGCTTCATTTTACCACAGAGACACTTGCTCAACAATATTCATAGCTGCTCTATTTCATAAAATCCAGAAATTGGAAACAACCCAGATGACCCTCAGCAGAATGGATGAAGATGCCTGGTGGTGGTAGCACACACCTTCAATCCCAGCCCTCAAGAGGCAGAGTCAGGTAGAACTCTGTGAATTCATGGCCAGCCTGGTCTACAAAGCTACACAGAGAATCCCTGTCTCAAAACAAAAACAAAAACAAAACAAAAACATAAAACAAAACCAAAACAACAACAACAACAAAAGAAGAAGAATGCATAAAGAAAATGTGGTTCATCTACACAATGGAATATTACTCAACCATTAAAAATGAAATCATCAATTTTGCATGTAAATGGATGGAACTAGAAAGAAATCACCCTGAGTGAGGTATCCCAGACACAGAAAGACAAATATGGTATGTATTCACTCACACGTGGATATTATCTGTTAAGTCACTGATAACTAAGCTCCATCCATAGAACCACACAGGTTAGGTATACAGTAAGGGACTACGGGAGACAGATATTTCTCCTTAGGAAAGGAAAATAGGATAGATGTTTATGGCTGTATTGAGGGGGTGGCTGAACAGGAGGCTCAAGTAGGGTGGGGATGGGATGCAGGAGGGGGAATATGGGGAGAGACAGTTAAAATTAAGGGCCATTTGAAGAGTGGTATGGAAACCCAATACAGTAGAAGCTTCCTAAAATACATATTTATATGAAGGCAATGTAAAGGAAATATCCAAATAATGGAACAGTCAGACCCTCAACTGGACAACTCTTGTCACACAAAGAAGCTTCAAGTACTAGGAGTCAATTGAATCTAATTGAATTGCTGGTCAAAGGGGTGGCTTGGGAATCTCTGAACAACACAGGCTGTTGCCAAGACTATAGGTTGCTTTCCACAAACTGATAGCATGGCTAAATTGCTAAAGATAACACTTACATAATTCTTGAACATAGAGAAGTTGAGCTGGTGTCTAACTACAGCCTTCACTCTTATTTGCTAGTGTCTGTGGTACTCTGCACCCTACCAAAGGAGAAATATAAACATTAACCCAGTCACAAACGATTTGCTCTACAATGGTGTCATGCCTGCTAGATACGATAGTGCAATGGTGGCACAAAGTTTGTGGTTTAACGAACAAATACCTGACTTGACTTAAGGCCCACTCCACAATATGGAACCCATACCTGACACTGCTTGTGGGACTAAGAACCTGAGACTAGATACTCTAGGGATCCAGGATGAAACCAAACATTACTGTTTGACTAAAAGAATGTATCAACGAATGGCACTCTGCTATCATCAGAGAAGCTTCGCATTCTTTTTATCCCAGCACACGGGAGGCAGAGGCAGACAGATCTTTTTGAGTTCGAGGCTAGCCTGGTCTACAGAGTGATTTCCAGGACAGCCTCCAAAGCAATACAGAGAAACGCTGTCTCGAAAAGCCCCCCCAAAATCCCTCCCCTAATAGCTCAGGGGACACTGTATAATAGCAGGCAGAAAGAGTGTAAGAGCCAGAGGGGATAGCTTTTTATTTCTGATAAATAAAAATCTTAGATGACTATACTTCACTTTTCATGTATTTCTTTGTCGTATTTTTAAAGACTTATTTTTATTTTATGGGTATGTATATTTGCTTGCATGTATGTCTGTGCTCCGTGTGTGCTCACAGAAGAGGTTATCAGAGTCCCCTTAGAACTAGAGTTACAGACTGTTGGAAGCTGTTATCTGGGTGCTGGGAATTGAACCGGAGTTCTCTGCGGGAACAATTGCTCTTAACTGCAGAGCCCTCACTCTAATCTCATGTGGCATTGTTTTGATATATTTTACTTCTACATATCTTAGAAATCTTAAATTGTATCATCTCTACTTTTGCTGTATGTAAACAGCCAGCAATGTTTCAAAAAAATTTTAAAATGAAGAAAAATCTCTTATGTTCAGGCACATATTTTCATTGTGGAGCTCTTAATACATAGCACCAAAATCCTTTCAGCTGTACTATTTTCATCACTCTGTAAAATTTTCATTGACAATTTTCATAGTGTAGGTGTCATGATACATTTCGAAGCTTCTGTTTATTTGAAAATGTCTCTGTTTTACCTTCATTTAAAAATATGATTTGGCTAGTTATGGTATAAGGTTGAGAATGTTTCTCTTGTTCAGAACATTAAATATTATTATCTTCCAGCACACATTATTCCTGATGAGAAGGTGATAAATATTTTTATCACATTTTATCCAAAAACTGACTATATTAATACAAGGTGTTCTTGGGATTATTGGGATTTGTGGATCTGTGGTTTGGTGTATTTTTTAATTAAAATGTGGAAAAATATAGATAAATAATGAAAAATGGCATTCACATGACAAAAATGTTGCCTTTTATAAGACACTGATTCTCTGTGACGTGTGGGGGGTGTGTTCACCTGTTTATGCATGTGTGGAGGCCAGAAGTTGAGTTCAAATGACCTCCTCTGTTGCTTTTCAACTTATGTTTTGAGACAGCCTCTCAAAGAAGCTCAGTTCATTGATTTGGCCAGATTAGCCTGCCAGTGAGTTCTGTGGATCCTCCTATCTCTACCCCCAGCCCTCAGCACTGTAATTATAATTATAGGTTCGTGCCACCATGCCTGGCTTTTGTTTTATTGTTTTGTTCTTTGGGGATTTCTTACATGTATTCAATGAAATAAGATGAGATCTAGCCTCCATTTCCTAACCCATGTCTGACCTCTCCCTGTATCTCACTAACACATTACCTTCTCAACTTTAGATCTTCCAACTTTGTCTTCTTTTCTTTTAAAAAAATATTCTGCTTTACTGCTGTCATTATGTGTATGGAGTTGGGAAGCAATTATGTTTATGGGTTGTGGGAACCTTCCAGGAGGACTGCTTCTTCATGTGGTGAGCACGGGAATCTGAAGTTACATTCTCGTGCTTGTGAGGCATCTCTACAACCCCAATCTGTCTTTCAAAATAGACATTTCTGCATTCTTTGCAGCACTAAATAAGACTTCCTCGAGCACACCCCCCCAAGTACTTGGTGTTGTCAGTATTCTGGATTTTGGCTGTTTTTAAGAGATATATGTAGTGATACCTCATTGTTTCAATTTGAAATTCCTTAGTGACATGATGCCCAACATTTTTTTTTTTTGTCATCTGTGTACCTTTTGAGAAATGTGTCTTAAGGTACCTGTCCCATGTTTTAATGAGATTCTTTGTTTTCTTATTGTTGGATTTTGAGTTCTTTATTTTGGACAA